GGCGCTGTGCTTGCAGAGGGCTTGCGGGAGTACTTCAGCCAGTTCGGCGAGGTGAAGGAGTGCCTGGTGATGCGGGACCCGCTGACAAAGAGATCCAGGTGAGAGGCCGGGCCCGCGCCTCCCTTCGCCCCCGCCGCGGCCCGGCCGTCACTTTAACCAACTTTCTCTCTTCTCTCCGCATCCCCTCTCCTGCCCGGGCTGCGGGGCTCAGGGGCTTCGGGTTCGTCACGTTCATGGACCAGGCTGGCGTCGACAAGGTCCTGGCCCAATCCAGACATGAACTGGACTCCAAGACGGTGAGATGACTTCTCTCATCTCAGGGGTGCATTTGCCGGGGAAGCGGCTGTGCTCAGAGCAGCTGTCGACTGCTGCGTTTGGTTTCAAGTTAGAGGTTGTAAACTATCGGTTCCTGATACGGATCAATCGGCCGCTTCTCTGCCCCAGCAGGTAGCCTAGCTGCTATCCCGTGCTCTTGTCCTGGCACGGGGCTGCAGGTCCTGGTGATGCTTTTCCACCCACCCATGGGTTGTAAGACCCCTCCAAGGAGTGACTGTGGCCCTCTTGGAGGTGGGACACCTGAGCCCTTACAGGGTGAGGATTCACATCAGGAAATGGATGTGGCTGTGTTTGTGGAGATGGGAGCCACCTCTTCCCCTCCACCCCATTCTCCAGCTCCTAGGCCCCACGTCCCTGGGCCATGGTGGCCTGTGCCCTCCCCTCAGCAGAGAGCCTGCGTGCTGCATGCCCTAGAGACTCCCATGGTTTCCCTGGGTGAAGTTTTTTAACGGTCATGGAGGTTCAAGAGTTTATTGTCTCTGAGCATGGCCAGCGCCCGCCCATGTGGGCCACCAGTGGTTCCTCAGAGTGGTCGTGGCTCCAGCCCTCACTCTTCCGTGCAAGGGCTGATTAGAAGCCCCTGCTGGGCCAGCAGGAAGATTCTGGTGGCTCCCTGGGTCGGTGTGTATCATGCCCAGTCCTGCCGTGCAAATCTGTGGTGCTCAGGAGCTGTGCATGCTGTTTCAGGGGGTGGGGGTGAGGTGTCTGAGTGGGAGGTCCCTTCTCTTTAGTTTTAGTGACTTCCCCTGAATTCCTTTTCCTTATTGCTGCCCCGGGGTGAAGGTGATGGTAGGGATGGGGGAGTGGTGGGGACTGCGAGGGGGTGGCATGGTGAGGAGAGACGTTCTGGCTCCCGGCACGGGCTGCTGAGGATTCCAAATGCACAACTTTATTTCTTGCAGCGCGTGGCTTGGGCGTCCTGGCCTTTATCTTGGCAGAAGAGTGAGGGCGGGAGAGCGAGACCCCCTTTCTTAGGGTTTACGGCAGGAGTTGCAGTGAGATTTATGTCTGTTCCTGTTTAACTGCCTGGATCGCTCCCTTTGATGTGCACAGGTCCTTCCTCCCCACGGGAGCTCCCGGTTAAACCTACCCCAGCCTTCCTGGCCAAGGCTGGGTCCCCAGGACTCCCACAGCCCTCCTTCTTTCAGGAGTGATGTAAAGTGAGTTTTGCTCTGGGGGAGGGTTGTGATAAAGTCTTTTGAGGAGGGTCCAGGGCTTTCTTTTTTTCTTTCTTTCTTTTCTTTTTTTTTCTTTCTTTTTTTTTTTTTTTTTAAATTTTTTACTAGCCTTTATAAGCACAGTGTCTGCTGAGCTAGCCCTGTCATGAGTCTGTGGGCTGGCATAGACCCCTCTTGGAAAGGCAAGTGATGAATGTCTGTTATAGCCCTAATTCTGAAAGCGTTTTGGGGCTAGGAGAGAGCTGAAACCAGGCTCTCCATTCTTCTCCTGAACTGCTGCTGCCTGTGTGAAGCTGCTCCGCAGCCTGCCGTGCGACCCAGGAGGGCAGGGGAGGGAAGGCAGGGAAGGGACAGCAGGGAGGGAAGGCAGGGAAGGGCAGGGGCGGACAGGCGGGCGCTGCAGGAGAACAGAAGGGCCTCGTGGCGCAGGGCGCGTGGGGACCGGCCAGCCATTGAAATTCCCGGCTGCATCTGCTCCGCTCACCCTGCGCCGCAAAGAGAATGGGGGCAGTTTTGCCGGGGCCCTTCCTTTGTTAGGAACGTTGATCCTCTCCCCCCTTCCTATTTGTTTTTTACTTAGTGTGATTTTCAGCTGGGTCAGATGTTTTGGGGTGTTTTGCCTGGTAGCTGCCGGGTGAGAGGTTGGTCTTGCGGTACTGCATGGAGCTTCCGTATGACTTTTTCCTGCTGAGGTTCTGCTGTGAGTCATGGGTTAAATGACACAAACTCATCTGAATCCTAATTTAGGGTTTCATGAAACTTTGCAGGAAAAGGCCTGGTGTCCTGAAGGGTCAGCCTTTTCTCGAGGCTCAGTGTCTCCTGGCTAGCAGCACTTGATAGACAGTGTCTACCCAACTTGTTGCTTCATTGTTTTCTGATTCTTCCTACCCTAACGAGGGCTGTTGGTCCAATTCTCTGGGGAAACCTTGTGCTTTTCAGACTCTTCTTTGTAAGCTAGATAGTAGCAGCCTACAGGGTTATTTATGGAAATGCTTGATATGAGAATTGGCTTTGCAGTCTCAAGGTAAAAGACTTGTGTGACTTTGTAAAGCTGCAGCTGGCTGCTGTCTTGGAGAGCGGGCTTGGTGGTGCTGGGTTGCCCTGTTGTTTCTTTGTTGCTGTTCCTGAGTTTTTTGCTGGGTATGTCTTTTGTGGAGGAGGGAATGATCTGTAGCTCTCAGGCAGCACTGACTGATGGAGCAAAGGTAGCCAAGGAGGTGTGATGAACAAACAAACCCCGCCCAGAGGTCTTGCTGGTCCTTCCATGCCCTCCCCCAGCTTTGGGGCACTGATACCTGTGGGGTTAAGGCAGGAGTGATGTGACCTGAGCTATTAAATGATGCTGTAGATGGCCTAAAGAGCATTACTGAGGAGCCTGGCTGGCCCACTGGTGCACCTGCGACGTCAGTGGGATTCCTCTCCAAAGCTTTGCGTGGTGAAGTGGAAGTGGTTTGTGCTCAAGTGGCTTCCACTCATTGCAGCCTGATCCTGGGGTTTTGTTTTTTTGGATACAATCTGAGAAGTTCTGAATGCTCTTAGCAGATTTCTATCTAGGTTTGTAAAAAGGATCCCTTACGTCAGTGGGTGATACTGAAACACAACTCCTCCAGGGCTATTTGTTTTAGCACCAGAAATGAGGGAATAAGGTACCAGCACTTTTGCTTCAATTAGAAAGATTCCAGCCACCAAGGAGCAGGCCAGTTGGAGTAACTTGAGTCCAGCACTGAACTTGCTCCCCTCTGTATGTTCCCAGGGCTGTCCCTGCAGTCCGTTGCCCTGGCCTCCCTCTACCTGCAACAATAGCTGGTTGTGCAGAAGAATTTGTGAAATGACTGCCTGCTCCCTCCAGCCAGGAGGACGCGTTATCTCTGCCTAGTTGATCACACTCAGGGTAATGAGAAAATGAGGCCGAGCTTAGCATTGCTGAGTATGAAAGCATCTTCTTGGCAGGAGCTGAATGACACTGGCTGAGAAGTAAAAGACAGTAGATTATTGTTTTTGCTTATTATCTGCCATCAACCTCCTGGTCTCCTGCCGTCCCCTGTCCTCAGAATTCGCTGTGGGTGTCTGCACCAGCCAGGAAGCGTTGAAGGGGGGTGTGTGTGCGGGGAGGGGAGGGACGGTTCAGATGCCCCAGGGAGGCACCAGAGGGTATGCTAATCTGCCGGCGCTTGGAGCTTGGGGAGTGAGGTTTATTTTTGAGTTTATTTGTGCTCTTCACTTTTGCCTCTGTTTACTTACGTGCTGAGTTTATTTATGTTGTAGCCTATGAGTCAGGATGGAGGTGGGGAAGGCAGGGAGAGGAGCTGGTGGAAGGGTGCAGGGAGGCCGAATTGTGGGGCTGTGTGACAAGTGAAAGGACGTGGGATGGGAGGGTGGCCAGGCTGGAAAGCTGAACAAAGCAGCGAGAGGAGCTGGAGAAACACAGCTTCCTTTTGGGCTGTTTGAGCTGCCGGGCTGATGGGACGACACTGCAGGCTGCCCTCCCAGCTGCAGCCTGTCCAAGCGCAGGGATGAGCCAGACCTGCCTTTACCACAGGTCTTTGTAAGCTGATTTGTAGGTCTGGATCATCCCTGATGTGATGTAACTTTACAGGAGTTGCTTTAAAAATAGGCTATAAAGAAAGAGGTGGTGGCTGAGGAGAAGAGGCGTCATGGGTGTTTGGCTTGTAGCTCCATTAGTGTTGTCCCAGCTTTTGTAGCGGTGTGAGGCCGAGGCAGCCACGCGCTCATCCGTGCTGAGCCCAGCAGAACGTGTGGCACCTGGATGGCGGCACGGGGCCCGGCAGCTCCGGCCGGTAGCAGGTTCCAGAGGAGCTGAACAGGCACAATGGAGGGCTCAGCCTGCCCAGGGGAGGCATCGCTCATTGTGTGCAGCGTGGCTGGGGAGAGGGGCAGCACAGCACGCTGCCCTGGGCCCCAACCTCCGCAGCCTGGGGGGCTTTGGATTCCCTGCTTTAATTTATGCCCTCCTGTCTGCTTTTTTATTTCTTCACCCTGTGTTTTGTGGGGTGAAATGTTGGACATCTTGTGCTGTGCCTCTTTTCTGTCTTGTTATTACTTGTAGGTAGAGTGAAGGGGAAGAGCAAAAAGGCAAAAGAAAGCACTTTTAATGTGAGGCTGGTGATGCAGGGCACCCAGGGGCAGGCCAAGCAGGAGGGTGCAGCCCAGCATGTTAATCCCAGCATGTGATGGGCTCTCCGGTGCGTATGAGCCAGCGCTCAGCTGGAGATGGACCACTGCATGCTGGGACTTGTAGTCTCCCTGGATTTCACCTTACCTACAGGGAAAGATGTCTGCAGCCAGCTTCATTTTATGCACCTCGGGTTTGTAGCAAGGTGCCACATGGACAGAGGTAGCCGTGTGCATGGAGGAAACCTTGTGTTGGTAAAAAGGCAGCAAAAGTGTGTTCACCTGTTCTTCCCCACATCTCTTTCAGATTGACCCGAAGGTAGCGTTCCCCCGCCGAGCACAGCCCAAGGTAAGCACTGAGGGCAGCCCTTGCCACTCCAAAGGGTGAAATTTATGCTGGGCAATCTTGTCCCTCCCTGCATGGTTGCCAGTGCACACAACAGAGTTGCTCCCTGGGATCTGCAACACAGCACTGGGGTTTGCCTGGCCCTGGAGGCACCAGGAGGTCCCTCAGCTGTGCTTTAGGATGCACTAGTTAGAGCTGGGGAAGTAAATGCTGTCCAGAGTGAACTTACTCCTTCCAAGGTTGCAGCCAATGTCTGGAAGTTTTGGGCTTAAGGAAGTACAGGAGAACAGCTCCATACTGTGATGTGATACAGACGGAAAGAGGGTTGTGGGTATGAATAGGTGTATGGCAGAGAGAGGGGGAGAAGGATTTTATTTTGTGAAATGGCCTTGTGTGCTTCAGCACTGGAAAAGGCAGAAGGTGTTGGACTTTATCTACAAGGGGTTCTGGCATTGAAATGTGTAATTGCAGGAACGTTTTCCAGGTGTGCAGCTAGAAACTTTTGACTGGGGAGCCAGCAGCAGGCTGAAAGCCTTTATACCCAAAGCCTTTATACTTTGGGTCTCCCTTTAACTTGACTCTTGGATGGGAGTTTTAAAGTTCAGAATTTGAATTCCAAGTGCTGTCAGGGGAAAAAGATCTGGGCAGAAGTAGTGCTGAGAAGCAGAGGGGGAAGAGGAGGCTGGTGCTGGGAGGGAAGTGAGGGGGGATCAGGCACTGAGAACAATTGGTGAGCAGGTATCCCGAGTAACTGGAGCCAGGAAGCACATGGTAGGAATTGGGTTAATTCCATTAAGCAGTTTGGTGACAGAAGGTGCTTTAGTGTTAGAACGGGCTGCTCTCCAAGCCAGGGAATTGCTGCGGATTAGCCCTATGCTCCTTGGGGTAATTAGGACCATGTGTTCCTCTGAGAGCCGGGGTGTAGCCAAGCAGCTAAGGGAAGGATGCAGCTGGAGAGCTGGTTCAAAGGATGTTGGTGTGCCTCAAGCATGGCAGCCATGGCCCCTCTCAGGGTAGTTAGTTTTCTCCTTGTCCCAGTTGCACGAGTGACAAGTGGTAAAGGGATCCTCTCTTTGCCCTCTTGCAAAAGCAAAAGAGATTTAACTGCAAGTTGACTGGGCTCTGTTTGTGGGACTGGGGAATGGGTGTGAAACGAGGCTTGTTCCATGCAACACTGGATAGCTTGCAATTTGGGAGCTATGGGGGCAAAACCTGGGGAGTCTACCTGTGCTGGCAGGCCTCCTACCTGTCCTTCTGCTCTGGGATGCAGCACAGGGATTGCTGGGGAGCCGGCAGGAGGCTGGCTGTGCAAAGTGGCAGGGCCATGGGAAGAGCTGGCGGGCTGGTGAGGGGGCAGCCACGGCTTGTGTCTTCAGGGTAGTGTGAAGGTGCCAAGAGAGCAGCAGCAGACTGGCAGGGGGACAGGCTGCTAACCTGCTCCCCCATGAGGATGTGGAGGCTGGACACAGCCAAGAGTGATGGGGCTTTGCAAGGGTGAGAGCGTCCTCTGGGCTTCATCGTGGCGCAGACCCACTGGCCGCGTTTGGCCAGAAGACCTCGAGAAGGTGGTAGCTTGGCTGCAGCACAGGGGCAGGCACACCCCAGCACAGAGGGGACCTAGTGGCCTTTTGAGTCTCATTCTCTGCTTGCTCTGGGTTTATTCGGTGAATTCCTGTACTTCCCTTTTCCAGATGGTGACCCGAACAAAGAAGATATTTGTGGGTGGTCTGTCCGTGAACACTACTGTGGAGGATGTGAAACAGTACTTTGAGCAATTTGGGAAGGTAAGTCTCTTGAGTGGTATTGGATCAAAGCTGTTGCTTCTGGGGCAAAATGGAGTTTTCTGAACTTCTGTGGAGGCGGGATTAGGAGCTTGTGAGTCTTTTGCGTGGGGTTAAGTAGATTGAAGGTCAATTACAGTCATTGCGTGCCTGTAATGTCTTTTGAAGGGACTACAGCCAGTGACTGCTGCCCTGTGATGATTTGAAACAAAGAGTTTGTGCTTTTACCTGGAGTTGGTAGGACGTAGGTTAACGGAAATGGTTTTCCAGTTTTTCCCTATCCAGAGGCCTCTGGTGGCCTGCAGCTTTGCAGTTTGTTCTAATGCTGGAGGAAAGTTTGCAGACTCTCCTAAGAGAGCAGCTGCGGCATCAAACTTGTCATTTTGGTCTGTTTCTAACTTGTAAGCCTTGAGATTGATGTTTTGGTAATCCTTTATTAAAAAGAAGCTTTTTGGTCCTGAAACTTCTCCTGCTGAGTCTTGGGCAAGTGGTGATGTTGGTTTTGGATATTTGAAGAAAATTTGGCACTGTGGTTGTTCCTTGTGGTGGTCTGGCTCTCCTGTGCCAGCTGGTGGCTCAGGGAGGTGTGGGCTTCTGTGGATGGAAGTCACTTGTGCTGTAGTCTGTGAAAGCCAGGTGTGCAAACTGAATGCGGGGATAGAAAGGGGCTCAGTTTTGGTCCTTTAGTCCCCTGCCAGGAGGCTGTGAGCATCCCCAGGAGTGGTTTCAGTAGTGTTAGACTGAGGGATCCCAAGATTTTTAATGGGATTAGGAACTGAAGGGGATCATTGTACCCAAATCCTGAATGCGGTCACCTCTGGGGCTGGGCACTGTAACTGGCTGTTGTTTGGTGATGTTGTGCACAGGTTTGCCATTTGGGGCTACAAGTGTTGGATTCTTGGGACTCTCCTGCCTGGCTGCTGGGGTGGAACACAGCTTGCTGGCTAGTAATCTGGCCAGGGTGTTGCTGGTAGCATCATGGATGTGGAGGAAAGTACCAGAGGAACCTGCAGAGTGTGAAGGATGAATGTTCTGGTATTAATTTTCTTCTGAAAGATCCTGCAAAAGGGTGTTGTTATGTTCAGGCATGGTAATCGGTGAAAGGAAAGGGAGTTGTGTAACAATTTTTGCCATATTGTCAGAAGTCTTGGGCAGAAAGTTTGGAACAAGTGCTCAGTACCTTCAGCTTCTGAAGCCAGATCTGCATGTCATGGAACGCTGTTGTGACTGCAAAGAGGGACTTTGTGTTTCTGTTCAGTTGTAAGGGAAAGTGGCAATAGCAGAAGGGGTCAGATGTCCCCTCCTTTGCTAGTTGTTGGCTCTACACCATTTTATTTTCTATCAGAAATGAGCAAACTCTTTTATGTCCCCAGGAGCTTTTACATGGTGTCACTGAAGATGTCACCACATAAGGTGGTGTTGTCCACATGTCTGTGTAATCTGAAAGTTGTTAGTTTGACTTGCATGTGCTTCTGTGCTGCTGGTGGATGCATTTGATAGGAAAACAAAATATCTTCTGTGTGATTCCCTTTTAACCTCAGCTAACTTGGAGCAGAAGCATGCCATGTTACAGTCACTCTAGTTGGAGAAGAACTTTCCAGTTCTTTTGGGGTGTTCTTCTGTTATGCTCCTCTTGTTTAACGGTCATGTGCTGAAAGGTGTCCTGATGTCAGGAGACTGGCAAGAACTGGTTGTGTTGGATTGTTTTCTTAGGACTGGGCAGAAGGGAGAGTTCTGTGTAGCTCGGTGCGATTCATTTCCAAAAAGCCAGCATCCCAGACAGCATTCAGTGCTCAGAATCTGGATGAGGCTGAAGCAGCTGGCCTCTTGGCTCTGGGGAGGTTCTGTGGGGAGAAGTCAGGGCTGGTCAGATTGACTCTCCAATTTTGGAGCAGTTTTCTGATTCATCTGGGCCATTTCAGCTGGAGAAAACCCTCAGAGCTCTTGCATAAAGCCTGTAACCATCCTCCAGGCTAAGCCTCACATAGTTGACCAAAGGCTAGAGCTGTTTCCAGAGAAATTCTCTCCGGTTGGTAGCTCCCTATGGCTGATGAGCAGGATCAGAGGGAAAGGGTACTTTGGAGGAAGAGCCTCCGTGGCCAACAACTCTGGGCTTCTGAGCTCTGAGTGCACTGCTCTGTGGTTTCTAGGGCTATGAAAAGCCTGTTGCCTTCAGTTTCAGATGTGACTCATGGAGAACATGATTGAGGTACACAAGTACTTTTGGTGTTTGTTTATGATTCTCTGGGGCCTCCTAGCTTTCAGTGGTCTCCTAGGGTCCCTTCTTCAGAGGTACTCCTGGCACCTGACTCTGTGCTCTTCCATCTCCCCAGTTTATGGTATCTTTAAGTAAGAGGTGGTGAAGCTTCAGTTCTGTTAACCTCATCTTGAAAAGCCTCTGGAAAAATCTTTTCTAAGTCATTTGGGTCAGTACCTCTTCTGGAACTGGATGGGGACTATCTGAAAAGGAATTGCTAGTAATGCCCTTGGAAAGCATTTCCTTGGAGAACTTAACCTGCTGAGGAAATGGCTTTGTCTGTGTCCTTCTTTCTCTGAGCAGCCCCAGAGTTTTCTAGGATCTGGTGCAAGAAAAATGCCTCTTTTTTTCTTCCTGCCTGTTCAGGGAGGCATGAGAACACTTAAGATCTATAGAAAAGGGAGTGGAGAATAAGTCAACCTGCCTGATTCCTCAAGATCAAGCAAGGTACCAGGTTCCCAGGGGTGATTTTTAGTCGATCTTTGAGAAGCCAGTAGTGAGGTCAGTTTGGATCTCAGCTTGAGGGAGAGATCATCTGCCTGTGAGGACAAGGGAGTACAGAGTGCTGAATGGGGTTGGCATGAAGGTTATCTTCTAGGTAACTCTCAGGCCCCGAGCCTAAGTGTGTGTTAAATTTGCCACCACTTCAGGCCTTTAAATGATGATGGATGGTTTTTGAAAAATACTTGAAAACTTATTTGAAAAATAAGTTCTAGTCCAGCCAGAAAGCACTCACATGCTGTAGGAATTACCAGAGGAAGTGCCATGGCCTGTAGCACAGACAAGGTCAAATTAGATTATCATAATATTCTCTCCAGTCCAAATCCTTGACATGCAGTTTGCAAGTCTACCAAGGTAGCTGGCATTGGTGCACCTTGGGTCAGAAACAACACACCTCCTGTGTCCATTAGCAGGAGAAAGATGGAAGTCTGGTTGGGCTGGAGGTGAAATGGTTGCCTGTTTCACAGAACAAAATTCCCAAGTCTGATTTTTCCATGTTGGCTTTTCTGCTTACTCTCCTGTTTTGTTTTGTTTTGGTTTTTTCCTTGTTGTGTCCAAAGCCTTCTCTCAGCTTTGTAGAAGTGGCAAAAGAAAAGTGAAAATGTGTGAGGAGGAAATCCCATGAGCATTGCTTAGGGATAAAGGAAGAAAGGGAGACACTGGCACTGCGTTTCTTCATATCAAAATACTTGGTTTTAACAGGCACAAAAGGTGAAGCTTCAAAGAGGATCCCAAATACAGTGTTTCTTTGCTTCAAAGAAGGATCACTTTATTTATTTATTTTTCCTTCTAAAACTGTGAATGAAAAATACGGACTGCTGTTTTCCTGAGGAAGAAAATACAAAGGTGTTTTTTTTTTTAGTAGAGTGAGAAAGGCTGAGAAGTGCTCTTAAGCTGGCTGTGGTTTGTCAGGTGCAGCTGCTGGCGCTTTGAACATAGCAGGATCTCTAGGAAACACTTCTGGCTCCAAAGCCTGAATCTCTCAGAGATGTAAGCTAAGGCCATGGACATAATTTCTGAAGGAGATTTTTTTTTACTGTAGGACAGAAGTCCTGGAAAGAATTGCATTCACAGTATATGTAGCCAAGTGTCTTGGCTTACATTGGTGGAGTTGGAGATCTTTAGGCTGCACAAGGAAGTATTTCAACAGCCTATCTCAATTCAGGCTACCGCCCTCACTGAAACCTGAAACAGAGAGGAGGAGGAGATCTTGCACCTACCACCCCAGGCATAGCTAGGCCTCTGTCTAGTTCAACATGTATGAGGATGCCTCAGTGCTCGAGTACCAGCCTCCTCCTTTCCTACTTTAACCTGTGGGAACATCTTGTTCTATATTTTTGGTTTTTTTGAGGAAAAGGGGTTGTCCATCAGAGCAGTTTCTTTGGACCACTGGGTCTCTGATCTTGTAAGTAAGGTTATTTTTCAAATAATAAGTGAAAAAACTCAGATTATCTTTCTTTTTCAAGGGTTGTTCTGATGAGGTTTTGGAGTAGAGAAAGTCCAATAAATTGCAAGATAGGAGGCTCAGAACAAATAAGGTCTTTTTGTCATTGAGCTTATCTAAGGTGTCAAATTTGTGTTCCAGAATGTCATTGCTAAAATTTGCATAGGCTTCAAAAAGATTGGACAAATTAATGAAAGGTCTTTTAAATCCCCTCTGAGTTTAGGAAATCCCCCAATCAGAACTGGCTGGAAGATAGTGGAGTATTCTGTCTATTGTAATATCCTTGCTTTGTCTTAGTGTTCTTCTGGAGGTGTTGTTAGTTGGTGTCCTGGGGGGGTGTTGGGTAAGGTGGACCTCTGCTCTAATGTGGTGCAGCCAGTCATTTTTGTTTGTCCTTAGGAGAAGCTGGTCCTTTCAGAAGGTAGGGGTAGTGGAAGAAATGGGGGCCTGGATCCAATTCAGGTGTTTGAACTCATGGTTTCCTTGTGTGCTTTTGCATTTCATGAAGCAGAAGTGCAAGAAATATATTTACAATGACGTCTTTGCATGACTCACTAATCAGTTGTGGCTCCAAGGGTGCTTGAAAAATGTTTAAGAACAGTCTGCATCCTTCCCTGGGCCTGCAGGTGATCTGTGTATGTGGATGAGTCGGACATGGAAGCTTGGCCTCTCTGTGAAGCAGATTGTGCCCAGAGAGAGATCTGCTCTCTAAAAATATCCTGGAAGCAAACAGGAAAAAAGATCTGCTGAGGTCTGAGGACAATTCTGACCTTTAGGCTGCCATCTAATACTCAGTCCAAA